CTGCTGGTACCAGCTGTGTAACTGGTCACACGGTGTCCCTGGTGGTGTATCTTGTGTAGGCAGAGGTGACAGTGACATCCCACCCCCATCCTAATCAGCCGAGCACCTCTTGTGCACCAAAGCTTTGTCTCCAGCCTGGCGGTGACGTGGAACTGTGCGTCCAGACTCATGGAATCCTTGGGGGAGTTAACGGACAACAGCCACACATCAGTGATTGTTTTCATGCTATTTCAATTGCATTGGTTACAGATAACTGAACCAGAAGCAATTAATTTGAGAAGAAATAGGTTGAAAATCTAGAGCAATAATGGTGCGTAATGAGCCTCACCGCCAGCTGAGTCGGGCACGCCAGTGAACAAACCAAAAGAGGCAAACATCTACCTTGAATTCTTTGCATCTGCCAGCAGCCACTGACAATTTCCATTTGCTGGGGCTGCTAGAGTGGAGTAAGCGTGCAAATCAGGTGGAGCCCGCCCCTTTGATAATCCATTTCTCTCTCAATAGATCTCCAGGGAGTGGCCACTCATCTTCATGTCACGTACAGGAAAAATCACTCAAAATGCCATCCAACCTGCTTTATCTATTCCCTCTTATCCATGTGGAGCCCAGGGCAGACATTACACGTGTTACACAGAGCTGCGTTTCTGCTATGTGAGATGTCAATAGTGACATATTTCAGCTAACCAAGAAGGAAGTGAACAGCAAAATGAGAATTTCTACTAATACAAGGAATATGATATTGATGATCAGATCTTTCAAATAGTTGGCTAAACCTAGTATGTATTTCTACCCATGGAATCACTTTCTGATCACTCTAGAAGCACACAGTTTTGCAGTCTTACTCAAATCTGGATATAGGGAAATAAAGAAAATGTGGTTTATGCCTTCAGTTGGCTGGAATGCTCTTCCCTTTGATGGAAACCATGTCTTTTAGCCAAGAGATCTACGTACACATCACATGGAAGCTCATCTACACATGGCAAAGGGTGGCAGACCTTAGAAAGTGGTACAGCATATAAGAACCATGTATTGGCGAAAGCACAATATTCCAGTGCTTTCTATGTTAAGCAAGATCTCCATCTAATGCAACCCATTCCAGATATTAACCTTTAAGGCTCTCAGCAAGTTTCAAGGCTCTCCAGAGTCCATATGTCTGAGGTATCTTTTTTTTTTTTTTTTTTTTTTTTTTTTAAAATCAATTTTAACCCCACAAACACTTGCATTAGATACAAATCAGCTCCCCTGTGAATGTTGCAAGACCAGAAACTCTTGGAACTTTGCTTTGAAACAAAACTTGATTTAAAACAAAACAAAACAAAGTTTTCCTTTCTCAATTTTTTTTTTTTTTTTTTTTTTTTTTGTGAGTGAAGATAGTTCTGACCTCTACAAACATTAGAAATAGGATTGCTCAAGGAAACATCTGTAGGAGACAAGGCTCACCTTTTGTGCTGACTGTGGGACTTCTCCTGCAACTTTCTTCAGAAAGTGGTCATAGGTATTGCCACATCTACAGTGAAACAGCCTTCACTTTACGAAAAGTGTAGGATGAAATGACATCCTGGAATTCCACAGCAAGGGATATGTCAACAGGGCCACACGTACAGTTTGCCCGAGTGAAAAGGCTTTCTGAAGAGCTGACCTTGGACACAGCCACCAAATCTCCTAGAAGGGGGAATGGCCCTGGCAGTGATGTCCCTGCCTGATGGTCACACCAGCAGGAGCACGCTGTGTTAACACAGCTTTGATGCTCTGTAATACAGCTGACTCATAACCAGTCTTCTGGCCATCAGTGTTTTAATTGCAATGAGACTTCTGGATTAAATTGATATCATGATATTGGTGCACCAAACCCCCTACTAGATCCTGAAAAATAAGTAGGTCTTCTGAGTAATGACTGATATTCACAACAATTTTCATGCCAAATGAAGAGTTAAGGGCTGTGCTACAAGCCCCAAATTTATGAATGGTTTCATTGCAAAGGGAATCTCATATTAATTACACTCATATTAATTATATGCTAATAAACTGAACCGAGTAAAGCTCTTAAAGCATGCAGATGACGATCCTGCACTGGGAAAGCATTACCTCTCTTACTGCGGCTTATCCGAGTCTATTTATTTTTAAAGAAAAACATGAATATTTTATTCACAGTAGTTTTACCCATGTATTCCTATGCCGGAACCTGGCGAGTCCATGTGAATTTAAGAAATACGTAAGGAACTGTCACTGACCTACTTATAAAACACTGATGCAACTTCTTTTCTGAAAGTGTAGAAAACAGTCTTCCTTATATTGCAAAACACACATAGTTGTTTACTCAACATTATAGTGCTTTAATGCAGCATTTACACAGAAAAAATATTTGTAAAACATGATGTTCCATAATTACTACTTTTTGAAGTGGAACAAGGAGAATAGGCTGTTGTCATAGAGAAGCAGCTTTTTAATTTGGGTAAATTTGATACTGCTGTGGATGCGGGCTTGTATTAGTTCCAGTCAGGGAAAATGCAGACAAATTATGCTGCGGCAGTTTCCATTAATACCCTTCAGTGTGGACTTCTGTCTGCGCCCTTGTATCGTTATGATCCAGATTTTCCTTCTAGGAAAACAGTCGTGTGTAAAGACCATGCAGTTGTTGCGTGAAGTGTAAAATGCCGTGTGGGACTCAGGTGAGACCACCAGACTCATTTGCACTTGTTTTCTAAACGATGGCTTTAACAGCAAGGAGCAAAGCTCAGGTGCTCTTCTTGAACAAACCTCGGGTGTTTATTAGGTAGTTGTTTCTTGCCAGCTTCCTGACCAGATCTGGGAACGTCTCCTGTGGCACCCTCTCCCTCCAACACGTACACACCTCTATTTGTTTCTATAAAGCAGGTGATTATTTTTGCTGCTTCGTTAGCCTCCTCACAGCCTCCCCGCCATTGCATAGTCTTCTCTTCCTGATTCCCCAAATGCCTTCTGCCCTTTGGCAGCTTTCCCTCACGCAGGCGCTCTCTCTCTTTCCCCCTTTCTCACACCCAAATATGCATGCACACCCACTCCTTCGCTCATCGCCCCTTTGCAATTTGTCTGTCTTGCAGCCTCCCCTAGGGGAGAGCTGGTATCTGTATTAGCGTCCTGCACGCTGCAGGTTTCCCGTCTGGGAACTGCACTCTGTCCTTCTGACCAGGAAAGCCTCGAAGAACTTGGGGCTTAAATACAGCACTTGGCTAAGAGCCAGCAGAGACTGTCGAAATGACTAAGCTACACACCCGACCGTGACAGTACCAGCCCAGTTAAAATGCCTTGGCATCAAAGGCGTTCCTCCCAAGCACGCGTCAGCTAAAGAGACATCACCCATTTTAGTTACAGTTATGAATGTTTCATACAGATTTGATAGTGCCCCACTTGTAATTGCAAAAATTACTTACCATCAGAAAACAGAGCTGTGAAACAAAGGCTGTGGCTATTTAAGGAACACACTTTGCATCTCTTAAAGTTTCATGATTTCCTGGGTTTCTATACCATCTTCACTTGAGGATACTTCACGTCTTGCGCCTGAGGTTGCAGCTTTGGCAAGCAGAGTGGTGCAGTCAGTGGTGGAAATTACGAGGTGATTGGTACGGCCGCATTCTGCTGGGCGCAGGAAGAGAAATGGAGGCAATTACATTAATGAGAGGTAGAGATGAAGGTATTTTTCAGAAGTTCTCCCAAAGATTCTTGTTTGATTCAAGGGCAAGGAAGAAAGGTTGGAAGCGCAGGCTGCACTCTCTTTTCCCAAATTTGAACCTTGAGGCTTCGAAGTTGCAAGGTCCCCACATTAACCTTCCTTGCTAGAGTCTTTGTTTTTATACTAGCTTTATTTTCTTCCTCCAAGGGGGTGCACATCCCTCTGATGTAAGGTAGAAGTGATAGACTGGCCTGCTGGCAGCCTTCACACGTTATGATGCCTAAAAATGTCTTTTCACAGAAAATGTCAGCTAGGAGCTCTGGCGTTGTATTTGGCGCATGGAAGCATATGAGGTAAGAAGAGGGTAGTTCAGGATCAGGATTTAATTGTCTCAGTTCTGTCAGTCCAGAGTGCAATAACAACTAGACAAGATTAGAGTTATACGGCCTTGACCTAGGTGTGCTCATTTTGCCATCTGAAGTATTATCTCCTATTAAAAAATAGATCAGCATATCCATCAGAAATATTTGTGATAACAAAGCTGGCATGGAAAGACTTTAATCTGGTATGGTTTACTCCTGTAATAAAGAAAAAAAAGCCTACACAGCCCACACTGGAAGCAGACACTGGCTGGTGTACAAATCCCTGAAAGAGGGTGGGTGCAATTTTTTTCTTCTTCTTCTTAATGTAATGTCGTAATCCCATGTTCAAGTACCAAAGTGGAGTGAGAATTTCTGACAGTAGAAGATTCTTTACTGTAGAAAACAAAGAGAAAACAAAATCCAGTAGCTGAGAATCAAATCAGAACAAATCCATACTTGACAGCAGAATTTGTTAATGACCGCAAGAGGCTCGATGAATTCTCCAGGCTTTATTTTCATTAAAAGCAGATGCCGTTTTAGAGAACATGCTGTTCTTACAGGTTTCACACAGACATTAGGGGATGACATTTACAGCTTGCTGTGGTGGTTGAAGTTAGTGGAGAGATTCCAGACAACTTTGGATTGGGGACCAGATCCAGACCCTGTTCCCCAGACCCCGCTCACCCGGAAAGCGTGGCAGACACTTGTGGTACAGGGCTCTGCTTTCCTTCTCATGTGCGCAAGCTGCCATATCTACAAAGTCCCCAAATCCAGCACAGATAATTTCAAAGAAATCCAGTCTGCCTGGTGTGTCATGAGTGGGACTGCAGCAGAACAGAATATTAATACCTGTCATACATCCACTTAGTTTTGTGTTGAGCAAAGCCAGATTTTGGTTCTTGCATTGTAAAGAGAGGGAAAAAATAGTTTAAAACGTGCTTGTGACCTCAAAGGTACAAATTTAACAGTTCCTAGTATAGTCTAATTACCTCTATATCTGGAGAGAAAGTATCGCAGGATCTCTTCCACTGCCTGACAAATAATAATAATGTTTTCAAACTTGATCTGTCGCAGGATCTCTTCCACTGCCTGACAAATAATAAGGTTTTCAAACTTGATCTGCACAGTTTTCATACCCAAAGGCGTATTTATTGGGCAAACTGGAATAGCTTCAATGATTCTATCAGTCTATCAGATAATTAAGAAGGCCTTTAAGTAGCGTAGCATTGTGTAGTAGCATTAACACATCATCAGACTCCAGTTCTTAAAGGACCTTGGATTTCTACTGCCTAGAGAGAAAAATGTAGAAGAAAGGCAACAGCCTGGGTGGTGTGGAGCCTGTCTACGCTTTGGCACAGACACCTGAGCCATTCCAGCCTCTTCTGCTGGAAGGTCTGTGAAGACTTGTTAGCTTAGAAGCTGTGGTGTTGGGACATAATGGGTGGCTTCTGGACCTGAGGAGGCAAGTTTGAACAACGCTGTGCTCTGGCATGGCAACATCTGGGGATTTCTGAAGCCTCCTTCACTGCACAGACTAAGCATGCCCAGTGACAGTCTCACCAAATCTTAGAATCATAGAACCATTTAGACTGGAAAAGACCTTTAAGATCATCAAGTCCAACCATTAACCTAACCCTGCCATCCTACCACTAAACCATGTCCCTAAGCACCTCATTTACTCATCTTTTAAATACCTCCAGGGATGGGGACTCAACCACTTCCCCGGGGTAGCCCGTTCCAATGCTTAAAAACCATTTAGGTGAAAACATTTTTTCCTAATGTCCAACCTAAACCTGCCCTGGTGCAACTGAAGGCCATTTCCCCTCGTCCCATTACCAGGGAGAAGACACCGACCCCCACCTGGCTACAGCCTCCTTTCAGGGAGTTGTAGGGGGCAATAAAATTTCCCTCAGCCTCTTATTCTCCACACTAAACAACCCCAGTTCCCTCAGATGCTCCTCCTAAGCCTTGTGCTCCAGATATGCTCCAGCACTTCAACGTCTTTCCTGTAGTGAGGGGCCCAAAACTGAACACAGCATTCAAGGTGCAGCCTCACCAATGCCAAGTACAGGGGGACTGATCCCTGCTTCTGCTGGCCACACTGTTCCTGATACTGCAGCTGAAGGGAGACCTCCTGCCTTGCATCATCAGGAAGAAGAAACGCAGGCTGCACCTCGGACCATGCTTCATTGGGTTAGTCCTACAGATGTCATAAAAGAAACCCCAATTCCAAAGAGCCAGAACCTACAGTCTGGTAATAAACTTGATCAGCAATTTCAGAGTGTACAAGTAGATTGTGTATTTTAAAATGTGTATAATTTTAGCATTGCTTTTTAAGCCACAAAATTAAAATTCTCCATTAATTAATATAGCTAAGTCATTACTGAACATGATACTAAATAAATTCCATTATTCCCTTTTTTGAACACACAAAAGGAAGAGAAAGATTTGGGCCCATATTTTCTTTAGACAAATTCTAACACATATATTTTAGATCCCACTCCTTGTCCTCCTAATAGCAAAAATGCACGTAGGGCTAGGAGGACCAGGTTCAAGTACCTGCTTTGGCTGATTACAACATATGCTTCATCCTGGCTTATCTCTATTGCTAGTGAGCACCTAAATCTCGAGTTATTTCTAGCAGAAAATTATTTCACCATAAAATGCTTGATTAGTCCTAATCTAAGTGGTCTGTTTTTCAAAAGTCTGAGCACTAGACATTTCTTATGAACACCACTTGCAGTTTTACTCCGTACTTATTCAAGCACACATAAAGCCAGAGATCCTGCATTTTAACATACCTGCTTGGGAGTTTGTCTGTTAATGGGGACAGGTGGCAGTCAATAGCTTCAGGACCTAAGCAGTGATAGAAAAACAATTTTAGAAACTGGGAATTCCTTACATTCTTGGTTTTGAATTCTAACAACAGTGTAACCTTGAGAAATAAAATAAACGTCTAAAAAAAAGTCAGTGGTTTCTTCTTGGAGGGGGAGGAGAATTCAGGAGCCAGGCATGCTAAATTACAGGTGTGTAACAGAAAGTTACAGAGATACAGGAGGGGAGGGTTACTGATGGTTGAGAAACCCGTACCAAGCTGGGAAGAAAGGAAGCAACTGTGGATACATAACCTTTATTAGAAGGGAATATAAAAAGACGTTCAGTGACAATCAGTTTTTTTAGAGGAGGATAAAGACTTGGTTAAAGTGCTACACCTAAACCACTGAGGGGGACTCAGGGTGTATAGGAGAAACTGACTGTTAGCACACAAATTTAGATCCTAGAAAAACAAATCCAGAGCTGTAGACATACCACATATCTGTGGATCAAAATGAGTAAGCATGAAGAAATACTATGTGTAATGGAGTTCATTAGCTTTCTAACAACAGGGTTTGGTTCAGAGAGTATGGTCCCAAGTACAATAATTAAGATGAGAATAATTCTGATATCCCTATTTACGTGAATATTTCCCTTGAAGCTGCTAGAATTACAAGTAAGGGTGAATGGAATCATATTCAGGCTAAATAATTGAAGCTATATGCTAAAATATCTGCATTTTTTAAATAAAATATCAGTATTTAAAACATGGCTTTTTCTTCCAGCGAAATAGTTATTTAAAAAATGTGATTCATAACTTTAGACTGGAAGCTATTTATAACCTGTGCTTGAGCAGATCCCCACAGTTCAGAACAAGAAAACCGAGGGAAGGCACAGGACAGTTAAATGGTAAAATTCAAAGATTAATTTTGATCTCCAAAGTGTCTTTCAGGAATGGATACCCAGTCAAAGGACTGCAAATAAAACAGAAGATTTGGCAAGCAAGATACAACTCATACGGTAAGATGAAGCTCAGAAAGTACACAAACACACGACGACAAATAGCGAGGGATGCAAGTAAATCCCGTATGGAAAGCTGACTTTTATATGTAGGCTTACTGGACTGCTAAGTGTAAAGGAAGAAAGCACAGGGTGAGAAAAGATTGCAGTGAAGGTAAATGATATATTTGGGTATTCGAAAAGAAGGGCTGGGGGTGAATCTTTACTCTGAAGTTACATGTAACGATGTCAAAGCCCTGTTGGATAAAAGATATTAAAAATATCAGTGGTGTAACAACTCCAGAAATATATGTTCCAATAATTCATGGCACCAAATGGAATTCATTGGAGATTCTGAGGAAATCCTAAGAATGGAGCACAATTCCAGCCTCCCGTAATTTATCATTAAAGAGATGTAATTCATCATTAAAACAGCCACTCTGCTGGATAACTGGAAAAACGGCCAGCGCCATAGCAATCTTTAAAATAGCTCTTAAGACTGACCCCCAGAACTGAAACCTAGAGAATCTTAATTCATTAACAGGGAAAATAGTTGAGAAAATAATTTTTAAAAGTTATAAAACACCTACAGGCAATGTGTAGGAGAGCGAGAAAAAATCGGGATGAATAAATTGCAAGTCAGCACAGATCAGCAGAGACAAATTGATATACTTATCAGTGAGGATAAATTGTGCTTTCCTAACCTGTTCAAATGTTATAAAGAGTTAGCAAAATATTGACTAAAAGAGAATCACGGGATATGCATTTACAGAGACATTTGATAATATCATTCACATGAGGCTTTTAAGGAAACTCAGTAACCCTGGGGTGGAAGATAAGGTCTTTGTTACGGACTAAAGAGAGAGAAAAGGATGGGGATGAATAGCAGATGATTGGGATGAAAAGGTGGCAGGAGCTATGTGATGCCACAGGGACCGTACCAGAGGATCACTGCTAGGATTAATTCCGCTCTTTCTCCGGCCCTGTCTATTTATTAATGACCAGGAAGAGAGGGAATACAATGAGATGGCAAAACTGCTGACAACACAAAGCCGTTAAATTAGATAAAACTGAGGTGTCTGTAAATAACTCTCGGGACTCGTTGCAAAGCTAGCAACAGGAAAGGAAATGATGTTCAGCATAAGCAACTGCAGAGATACGGCCATAAAACAAACTGCTTAAACTGCTTATACTCATTAATGGGGCCTGAACGAATTATGGGAGAGCCTTGCTGATTTGCATTTGGGAGAGGAGAGCATTTCATTGCTTATTTACAGCTAGAGGGATTATTTTAAAATAGCGGGCACTACAAAGTATCTTCCATTCATCTATTTAAGTTGTCTGGGTTTCATTTTATCTGCACCCTTCCTAATCTCTGAGTAGTGCTCAATACATACGGTGACATACCACCGCTGAGAAGGGCAGTGTCTGCCTCCCTCTTCATAGCCGAGAAATTTTGGCAAGCAGATGGCTCTGAACGGTGGGGCCAGCTAAGCAGTCTGTCATAGCCTCATTCCTTCGCCCAGTCTCAGAGCCAGAGGACTCCTGCTGCGAGAGCTTTTATATCTCTTCATAAAAAAGACCGACGACATGCTAAAGATAGCCTCTGCTTACACGGGGCGAGCCAGACTGTGCACAGAGGAAAATGAACAGCCTGTCCTTACTGCAAGATATTTTTCACAGATTACAGTGCTGATGGGAGGGGGGTTGCTGAAAGCTCCTGTCGGCCAATCCACTGAAGCATTTCCTTTCCTCCTTCTCACCCCAAATGGGCCCCGAAAACATGAAAGGCAGAAGTTAGGGGAGGAAAATGCCAGAGGTGCACTGAAAACCTTATGCTGAGCTCAAGCCTCCTTTTTTTCCTTGCACTGATGTAAATGTGGAGTAGCTCGGCAAAGTCCAGCAAAGAGATGACTCAGCAATAAGGGCTGAGAGGGAGACTGAGAGAGAGAGCAGCTTGGGGACGGACCAGCTCTCGGGTACCGAGCTGTCGCTGGCGGTACCCAGCCCCACAATATGGACACTGTCGGCATCTCCATCACTCCTGCACAGCCCCGTGGGTCAGTTCAGCCCCGAGCAGGTGAAGAGGGTACAGGTGACAGGCATGGGCTGATTTCCCAGGGCTACAAGAAGGCTCTACGTGCTTGCCTTAATACCTTACTGTAGCCAACCTCTCATGAAGGTAAACCTTTCCCCTTCCCCCATAATGAAGCTATACATCAGTGGAAAGGGGAATTCACTTCTTCACCTGTTCAGGTGACTGGAATATCCCTTAGGGGATGGGAATAACTCAATAAGGGCAACATAAACACAGAGCAGCA